CAAATAATTTTTCTTATTAAATCTCTAAATAATAGGGTCTATATCCATTTCAACTCAAACTATCAATTTTATATTTAAAAGTAGGTAAAAAATTTGATTTAATTTTTATCACTTATTATATCTTTTTAATTTTTTAAAAAATCAATTTAAAAATTATCTATTCAATCCTAAATGTTATCCAAGAGTTATTTTATAAATTAAGATTATAAATGTAATATGTCATATACTTTTTTATTTTTTAACCTCTAACTTTTTGGAATTCTATTGATATTACATTTTTTTTTTGCATTTGTTTTTTCAAGTTATATTCTATTATATTGCAAGTTTGCTCTTATGAAAATTAATATTTTCTTCACACATCTATTTTTTTTTCATATTTTGTATAGTAATTTGAATAAGATTAGAAAAGCAAAAGTATGCCTATACTTTTTTTATTATTTAATTCATCATTTAATAATATATATATGTTTTTGTTCTTTTAAGCTAGACGTGTTATTTATTTTTATTTGATATAAATTTTAGGTGTATAAATATTATTACAAATAAAGATAGAGCAAATTGATTTTCTTATTGCTTTTTTTAAAATTTTTTTTATGACAAGTTAGTCAAATATAAAACGTTTTAAAAAGAATTTTAATTTATATATATAATAATAATAATAATAATAATAATAATAAGTAAACTTATTTTATGACAATTGCCCCCACAAGACCCTATGCAGAATAGATTAGTCCATGTAAAAAGAAAAGAAATTGTGTGTAAATACGGTCATTATAAGTTCTAATTAACAATTATACTTCATTTTTTTTCTTGTTTGTTAAGAAAAAGTTACAAGTTAACAGGTTTCAAATTTGAATAAAATCAAGTAGCAAAATATTATGTATAGAAAATTTGATATTTCAATTGGACACATCCTAAAGAGTAAATTTGGGATAGGGTTTTAATTTATCACTCCATTTAGGGGATGAATTAATTTTACATTTGAATAGGTGCAAATTTATCGTTACACCTTTAATTTGATTTAATAATAGTCAAAACTTAAAATATTTTGTAAAAAATTTCTTTATTTTTTCATCAAATATTCTTTTACCGTTATTTTTTTTTTGATATTTTTAACTAAATTAAAATCATCTTTGAACATGTGTAATTTAATTATTTTACGTCTAATTAATAGTAGACAGTTAAAGCATTATGTCGAATTTTTTTAGTTTTTTGTGAAATATTTTTACCTTTTTTTTATGATTTTTAACTAAATTAAAAAACAATGATAAAATTGTATCAATTTAAAAATGTGTTAAAATTTTTTTAAGCAAAAATGTATTTCACAACGAGATCAACATAAAATAAATCACTCGCACACAACGGACAATATTTAACATAATTTAGTTCGATTACTTACATTTATAGATGGGAGAAAAATTCACTATAAACATTGAAATCAGCCCATGATGAGGCAATTGCCCCCATAATACCCTATGTAGAATAGATTTGTCCCTGTCAAAAAAATTGTGTATATATGATCATTACATCTATTCAAGAGTAAGGTTATTCATTCAAATTTTGATAGAATTTGAACAAAAAATTAAAATTTGTTAAACTGATTTGAGAATAATTTTTAAATTTGTTTAAATTTTAAATCGAACTTTGGACAAAAAATTTAAAACTCAAACTCGATCCAGATTCAAATATATACAAATTATTTATTTATATATATGTAAATTATATATAAATTAATTTAAATTAAAAAATTAAAAATTAAAAAAATATATATTAATTTTTATTTTTAATTTATATATATGTAATTAAATATAATCTCATTAAACTTAATTTAATCATTTTTTTTAAAAATTTTATTATATAAATTAAGTTTAATAGGTGGGTATGAGATTTATTTTTTTTAATTTAAGCCAAATAAGAAAAAATTTTGAAGCTCAAAATTTCTGAGTCGAGTCTGACCAAAACAAATATATAAGCTATTAATATCAAACACAAATTCGATCTGACCCAGTTCATGAACACCTGTAATCGTCATCATAAGCACTAATTAATAATTATGCTTCATTTTGTTTCTTCTTTCTTAAGAAAAATTTACAAGTTAAAAGGTTTCAAATGTGAATGAAGTAGCAAAAACTTGTGTATAGAAAATTTGATATTCCAATCGGACAGAGTAAAGTTGGGATAAGATCATAAATTATCACTTTTATTTAGGGGGTGAATTAATTTTACATTTGAAAAGGTGCAATTTTATCATTGTACCTTTAATTTGATTTATTAATAGTCAAAAGTTATAATATTTTATAGTTTTTATTTTTTCATGAAATAATTTTTTGCCTTTAATTTTTTGACATTTTAAACTAAATTAAATAATCTTTGAACATATGCAATTTTATTATTGTACCTCTAGTTAATAGTAAAAAGTTAATTATTATGTAGAATTTTTTATTTTTTCATGAAATATTTTTTTCTTTTTATTAATTTTAACTAAATTTAAAAACAATATAAAATTGCATCGATTCAAAAATGAATGGTAAATTTATTCCATCACTTTAAGTAAAGTGATAAATTAGGACCTTATCTCAATTTAAAATTAAATATTTCAATTTTAACTTTAAGGTAAAAAATTTTGTATATTGAAAACAAGAATGAAGTATAAATTGAACAATGGTTTTTTTTTTTTTTTTGGTGTAACTCAAAACGTGCAATAAAAGGCTCAAACAAGTTGATAACTATATTGAACATGTATGAAATGTGTACAATACATCATGTAACATGTATGCAAATGGTACCAGTTGAATTAGCAAGATTTGATTAAATTTAAAAAGGAAAAAAAAAAAGGAATGAGCTTGCTTCATTTTAGATGTAATTGGTATCATGTGAATTATCAAGATTTGAAGATGAGATGTTGCATGCAAAACATTGGGGATATACACATACATGACCGACCTAATCAGTTAGGGATGGAATTCGATCCGATTCCTGACAGGTTTCGATCCGATCCGATCCTATGAGATCCGATTTTTTTTTTTATTCGAATTCGGATTAGATCTGAGTAAAAATTAGATATAAATCGGTTGGTCAGGTCGGGCTGAGTTTTAACCATACCCGACTCGATATTATTAAAAATTATTTTTAATTAATTTAATTTTTATTTAATATACTATTATAAACGATATTTTTAAATATTTATATTTAAAAATAATATTTTATATTAAAAAATAATATTTTATTAATTTGAGTTGGATCGGGTCGGGTATGGTTTACATAGTATCAGATTGATCGAAAATTCGGGTATGAAAAATAAAAAAAATTTTCGAAATTGGATCGGATTTCAGATTTATTAATGCATAAAATCGGTCAGGTTCGAGGGTGAGCAAAACCCACTTCGAACCCGACCCGATGCCAATCCTAAATCAGTATTAGAAACATGACATTAAAATTAAATGGCTGAGGGCATGCAATAATTGTAAAAGCAAAATTAAAAATGAAAAACAAAAATATAAGTTTATCAAATTTAATTACGTCTAAGAGTCATATATCAAATATCATTTTCAAAAACAAAAAATTAAGATGCGACAAACTTTGTTTGGCTTTTTTAAAAATATAAATTACATATATAAATAGAATTTATAATTACAATAAAATAATTCCTAAGATTCGAATATATTTTATAACTAATACATCAATTATATTAAAAAACCCAAAGAACAAATAAATTAAGTAAATTAAAGATTATCAGTAATCAGATTTTTTAAGTTGGCTCTTATGGTAGTGCTTAAAGACTATTAATACTAGTACTAGCTAATTTTGTCACCTTAAAGTTTTTTTTTTTTAAATTTAAAGATAAATAGATTATTCGATTCTCTATATTAAAATAGATGTGTTATATCTAATAATTTAAAATAAATGATTGCAGGTAGTATATTTCGAAATTATCTCAATAAACGATAACCGGTAAAATTTGAATATAAATTTTTTTTATCGAAAATAATAAATTTTAATCATTTAAATCAATCACTTGATATTTATTAAATAATTATTAACAATATTAACATAAAATGTTGGGTTTAAGGTTGGAATATTTTTTTCTTCTTAATTTATTTATATGTATTAAAAATATTTTTCTGTCATTTATTCAAAATTGGCTAATCAATAATTCTTTTCAAAATTAAAACAATTGATGGATTTATGACTAACAAATGGGTTGCGTTGTGTTACCGTAAATTACTATAAAACGCTTCGCTTTTTTTCAAGTGGACGCCCACCACCACCGCAATTTGCCTAGCTGTCCCAAACCTACCCACACAAACAAAGAATCTAGAAATTCAATTCAATACAAAATAAATAAAAGGAAAATTACAGATTTTTTAGTCAAAAGAAAAACAAAAACTGAAACTAGATTGAAATGAAAAAAGGGGCACCGCCCAACCGCCCACATGACTAAAGATGACACTCGACACCCGAATCTACCGGATTCGCCGTGCTAACCCCCCGGTTTCTTCTCTTTTCTCTTGCCTACCTACATTTCAGTCAAGAGCATTTCTTCCGGCAACTGCTCCATTCCCACGAAACTAATTCTCCAATTTCCCTTTTCGGTACTTGGCCACAAATTTTTAGTAAAATAATTATTATGAGGCCCCACATTTTCACATTCTTCTGATCATGTCATGGCACCCATGTTCTCCCTGCAAAATTCCCAAACTACCCCCGCTTAATATTTTTATATACAAAGATCATGCAAAAAGCCAAAAACCTTTAAAAAAAAAAAAGAGTCAATCAATTAATCATAGTAATTCAAACAAATCCGCGTACAATAAATTAAAATTAGTCCACTCATTGTTCAATTTCTCAAAAAAAAAAAAAGTAATTTTTTTAATAGTAAATGGTAAGTAAATTTTAGTTATTTTCAAATTTCTACCTTTCATCCCATCTGGCCATCCTTTAACGCGTTAACGCGTATGGTTGTCGCTTCTTTGTGGGTGACCACTACTATATATACCCCTTCCTCACCTTCTTTCCATTGGCAGGTGCAGGAAAAATTAAAACTCGCCTCACTTTTTTTCTGCATCTGTTATTAATTTTCTCATAAATCAAAAATAATAAATTGAAAAAACGCAAATTATTTCTTTCCTTATCCCTTCCCTCTGCTAATCCAGTAATTCCAAAAATACTTTTGTTATAAAAGCAAAAAAAATTGGAAAGAGAAGAGTATGAAAATGCCGTCCCTGGAGGATGAGCTGTTCCCTTCGACGCCAGGGAAGTTCAAAATCGACAGAGCCCACAATATGAATCGTCAGTTCCACCGCTGCTTCGCTTCAACCAGCACCATGTTTCTATGGGCTCTTTTCTTGATCGCGTTAACGGCATCGTATTTGAGCTTCCAGAGTTTCGTTGATTCAGGTAGCCGGTATTTCAGTGCTTCCTGGGGTGGAATCCAATGGGAAAAACAAGTACGTAACTCCGGTCAGATCCACCGTTCCGGAGGCATGTCCGTTCTGGTAACTGGAGCGGCAGGTTTCGTTGGTACACATGTTTCCCTTGCCCTCAAAAAACGCGGAGACGGTGTCGTTGGGCTTGACAACTTCAATAACTATTACGATCCTTCTTTGAAAAAAGCGAGGAAATCGCTGCTTAACAGTCACGGCATTCTGGTCGTTGAAGGGGATTTGAATGACGCCAAGCTGTTGGCTAAGCTTTTCGACGTGGTGGCTTTTACTCACGTTATGCATTTGGCGGCTCAAGCAGGAGTCAGGTATGCCATGGAAAACCCAAACTCTTACGTTCACAGCAACATAGCCGGTCTCGTCACGCTTCTCGAAACTTGTAAGTCGGCTAATCCCCAGCCGGCTATTGTATGGGCTTCTTCGAGTTCGGTTTACGGGTTAAACGAAAAAGCTCCTTTCTCTGAAGCGGACCGGACCGACCAGCCGGCTAGTTTATACGCGGCCACGAAAAAGGCGGGTGAAGAAATTACCCATACCTATAATCATATTTACGGTCTGTCAATGACTGGATTAAGATTTTTTACCGTGTATGGTCCATGGGGAAGGCCGGATATGGCGTATTTTTCGTTTACGAGAAATATTTTGCAAGGGAAGCCGATCACGATATATCGGGGAAAGAATCGCGCTGATTTGGCACGAGATTTTACCTATATTGATGATATCGTGAAAGGCTGCTTGGGATCGTTGGATACATCCGGGAAAAGTACCGGGTCGGGTGGGAAGAAACGAGGGCCAGCACCGTATAGAATTTTTAATTTGGGCAACACGTCGCCGGTTAAGGTGCCGGAGCTGGTGAATATTTTGGAGAGACATTTGAAGGTGAAAGCAAAAAGGAATATTGTGGATATGCCAGGAAATGGTGACGTTCCGTTTACTCATGCGAACATCAGTTCGGCCCAAAAAGTATTCGGGTATAAGCCCACAACCGATTTGCAAACCGGGTTGAAAAAATTTGTTAGATGGTATTTATCTTATTATGGTTATAATAACCGCAAAGGTGTACAATAATTCTTTTTTATATTTTTTTCTTGTTCTTTTTAATTATTTTTATAATGTAGGGTTTTTTTTTTCCCATTAAAAGGAAAAAATGTAATGGGAAAAGAAAAAAAAAAACGAAAAATCGGTATCAGTTAAAAGCAAAAGATGCGGATTACACATTCTTTGCTAGGGGGAACAGTGAAAAAAACATTTTAACCCCAGTAGTTTTGTTGTTTGTTTTCTTTTCTGTAAGTAAAGTTTAAAGATTGCATTTTCCATAATTACTGATTTCTTTCGAATTTATGCAATTGCTTGGTAATTTTGGGCTGCAAGGTAATTTTAGTTTATCTTGTAAATTAGATTGAATCTTTAAATTTAAGCGTTAAGGTATTCTATTGCAAAGGAGATACGGTCCACGTTTATGGGTTTTTTTGTTGGTGCTAAAATTACTTTTTGGAATTTCATGAGATTCTTTATTGTTTTAGCTTGGATAATTAATTGATAAGATAATAAGATTTCATAAGATAATAAGATAGATTTTTTTTTTGATCATTTAAAGACACTAGAATCCTAAGAGAAAAATTGAGGTTCGAACGTTAGTTTTGATATTTTTTTAAAGTTATTTTAATTATTAAATTAAACAATTGAAAATAATAAGATAAATTTTTATTATTATTGAATTAAAGAGTTTTTATTTTATTTTATTTTTAAATATTTAATATATTTTTTTATATTTAAAATTATTTTTTTAATATTACCGACAATATTTAACAAAAAAATAATGTAAATGTAAAATTGATTTGTTTGGAAGCGATATTCTTTTGAGTGGGACTTAAGATCCTAAGGGGTGATAAAATTAAAAACAATACCTCCATTGTAGAAGAGAATGAATGTGAAAGGTAGGGGCAACCGTGAAAGACGGATGGAGGAGGAGGATGGTCCCACAGATTGTAGAAATTGAAAATAAAAGCAAATTGTACGGAAGTCGTTGGATTCGGCTAAAACTTCAGCCTGACCCACGCTCCCTTTCCAGCTGTAAAACTGCAAACGTCATGTCGCATTCAGCTTTCATGCTTTCGTTGCCGACAATCGGATCAGGTGTCCTACACTCCACGGGCCATTATTGGGCCAACCGCTTCGTAGTGCTACATCACCTCTTTCGTTAGACTTTTTTTTTTTCCTAACATATTTTAAAATAAAAAAATTAACAATTACATGTTTATAGAGTGATAAATATTTAATTTTAATAATTAAAATTAAAAATTTAACAGTTTCTAATATAAAAAAATTTTGAGATAAAAAAAAAAGAATGAATTCAAATTGATTTTCTGAAAATATACATTAATATTAAAAAAAATATATCTTAAGAATCAAACAAGGTCTTAATAAAGTTTGTTGGGTTATATGGTTTGCAATGTTGTTATCAGCAATTATGGGTGTTTTCCAGCAAACGACAATAACTGCAAAGTCCAGGTCTTTGGATATTAAATGTGGAGAGGAATCCAAGGAAACTTTAGTATAAAATTGCTGCGTAAAGTGCCCTGTTTTTTCAAAGAATAAAGGCCGATAGAAATTATGGCGTCCCACGTCTCACCGACATGTTTGTGGGGTCCTTGTTTCGTCGGTGAACTGAAACATCTGAACACATTTAGTAGGTGATTTAACATATTTAATTATACGAAATTGATGGATAAACTTCACTTATAAGCCAATTATAATTTTAATATTTAAATTTTAAAAATATATACATTAATATTTTAAAAAATAAAATATATAATTTACACCTTATATTTTTAAATAACATATAATTATATATTTAACTTTTAAATTACATAACATATTAATTTAAATTCTAATCCCTTAATCATATTAACTTATATATAAAACATTTAATAAATATTATCAAATTATTTGTGCACTACATATATTATTAACATTTTTTTAATAAAAATTAAAAAATATATTTTATCTAAACTGTAAAAATTATTTAAGATTGGTTAATTATTTTTTTTCATGGTACATTTATATGAAAGTTTTTACAAAATATTTAAAACTTTTATCTAACAAAAGCATGCATATAACAAAGTTTTACTTATTAGATACTATATATACAAATTAAATTAAAATTGTATATTTTATTCTTTAAGTATCAATATGTATATTTTTCAAAGTTTAAATACTAAAAATATAATTAACTCTAAAATTGATGAGTCATCTCCTCTTCCAATTCTACAAATTTCAATAAAGATGAAATTTTGTTTGCTAATTCTAAGACTTACAAGAGCATATCAATTATAATTATTACATTAAATAATTAATTATAATTTAAAATTAAATAAAATTTATTACAATTTTATATGAAACTCATAAATGATGGATCACTAAATAATTTTTTATGATGATTAGATAATTATAAAATTATAATAAAAATTATAGACAAAATTCCCTTTATATTTGTAGGTATTGATGAAGATTATTTCAGACTTTATTTTTAAAAAGAAAATCGGTAATTGAAATACTCGAAATGTGAAAGAGATTCATTTTTACTTTTAAAATTTGTGTTATTCTCTATCATTTTATTATTTTTGTCTCCATATTTAAATTTGAACCATCTAAATCTAATTCATTCCTTTGAAATATATAGTAATATTTTTTTAATCAATATCATTTTAACGAATGATTATCGACATTGATGGTTAACATTTACTATAATATTATTGATAGTGTTAATATAAATTTACTAATAAATTCAGGTAAATAAATCTATATATTTATTTCACCATAAACAAAAAATTAATAGATAATTATTAATTCACTGAGATTTTTAGCTTCATTGTTGGAATATCAGGAAATAATATTCATAACTCTGTTATTAGTAGCATATATTTTGCAAAATGCTGGACATAAGGGGCAGATTATTTGGTCCACCGACGAGCTGACAGCTAAACATTTGGCTGTAATAAGACGTTGATGCATTGGTTGTTTGTTTCTTAACATGGTTGTGCTTGGATCCAAAGCTAGATTGTCAAAGGAAAAAGACGCCAAAGTTTTTGCTTATTTGAGTGATTGAAAGCGATAATCTTGACCTGCTCGACACAGAGCGTTTGGCTTGGGCTCCATGTAGATGGATAGGTAAATAATTCTGCATGGCCGGCATTTCGTAAATCAAAAGTCAGTGATCTGATTGATGTTGATGTCATACTCACTCTTCATTCTAAAATCAATGTCAAGTGGACAAAATTTGTGCAACCAATTTCTAATTTTATTTATACTAAATGAGTCCGCATGATGTTGTGAGTTTAAATTTTTTATTAATTAAAATAAATATTTTTAAATTATTTAAATAATTTATTATCTATTCAATTTTTTTATTATTTTGATACAAATTTTAATAAAATTAAATTAAAAATAATTTATACATTATCCTTTTGTTTTTGTAAATTTTACCTAATTAAAAAAAGTAAAAAATAAAAAAATCAAATGGGATTGACAAATGGATACTTCAATTGGCTTATTTTCTCAAAAAATTTTACTTAATAAAAATAAAAATCAAAAATAAAAAAATAAAATTGAAAAAGGATAAAATTGAAAAAAAATTAAAAATTAAAAATGAATAAAAAACTAATTGAATGTGTCATATATACATTCTATTGAGTTTAAATTATTAATATTTTTAAATTAAAGTATAAAATAATAATTTTATTAATATAATATATATAAATATAAAATTAAATTAATAATAAAATATATATTTTTATATATACCACATGATTACTTAGGTAAAACATCCTAAATTCGCTTCTAACCCATTCCTACTTTTCTTAAAAAAGCAATACTAATTTTTTACAAAAACATCCATATCGAATTAGAATATATCAAAACCCATTGGATTCTAATTTTTTTTACCATCCCTATACATAGACTTATTTCCTTATAAAATTTATCTAATTAAAAAAATATGAAAGAAAAAAAATCAATGAGAGTGTTATGTGAATATTTCTATCAACATTATTTTATCATAAAATTTATCTAATTAAAAAATAAAGAAAAAAAAACCAAAATGAAAGAAAGAAAAAGACAAAGAAAAAATATTTTTAATCAATAATATCAAATGAGTCAAATTATAAATCTTAAAAATATTATTTATTAAATATAAAGAGCAAAAAAAAAAAAGAATATAAAGAGGGAAAAAAAGGAAAAAAGTGGTAATAAGAAAAAAAGAAAAAGGTATGTTAAAAGAGGCGGTACATGGAATAAAAAATGTGTAAAATTTATGATATGGATAATAAAATATATTTTTTTATATATAACCAAAGTGGATTGGGACAAAACAACATTAGCTCGTCATCAATCCAACTTCGTTTTATTTAAAATAAAAAATCAATGGCATCTCTATTGAATCGGTTGGATCAAAACTCATCGAATATAAATTATTTTTTTATTTTTATTAATCAACTCTTTTTATTAATAAATTTATATAATTAAAAAAAAGAGTGAAAAAAAAAAAACAAAAATAAGGTGCAATTGGATACCTTAATTTGTGTTTTCACAAAATTTTTCTAAATAAAAACCAAAAAATGAAAAAAATAAGAAAAAACAAAAAAATAAATAAAAAGAAATATAATGTGTCTCGTCGACACCTGAGAAATAAATAAAAATAAAAATAAATAAAATTTATATAAAATATTGATTGATAGATGAATGGATTACATTTTATTTATATATAAATATAATATTTTTATTGAATTAAGATGTTAAATAATAATTTCATTAATATAATATACATATATAAATATAAAATTAAATAAATTATTAAAGATATAATTTTATACTTTCTAATGTTCACTTGACACGAGTTGAACCATACGTGATACTTTCTAACGTTCACAATCCTTATAAATAAATACATTATTTATTGATGTGACAAGATATAAGATACATTAAATTTTTTTTTTTTTACTTTTCAATTCTATTATTTTAATTGATATCTAAATCCAGTGGTCCAACAAAACATTGAGCTGCTGGTCTTGTTATTTTGACAAAAAAATGTTGCATTTTAGAAATGCAACTTCACATGATTCTAAGATAGACTCTACATCCATAGAGGATAACACTTTTTGAGAGATTGTCGATAAAGCTTTCTTTCAAAGGAAAGGGACAGAGAAGGGATAAGCTCTTTCACCGGAGAGTTCAGAAAGCAGCTCCTTCTTTTAGAGGGGGAGTTTGGGTAACTAGCCTAATAAATGGATAGGTGGGGAGAGGCTCTTAGCCAGATCATAGTTGA